TCCCAAAGAAGCCGTGATGGTGTATATGACATTGTGACACGATCTCATGAACGTCTTGAGCTCGTCGAAGCGGTCTAGGACGACTTGGGGGTGGTGACCTGTTACTGTTTTTCGTGGCTTCCCGTCTGCCGCTGCCGGCGGCGAGATACCCAGGACCTCATCCTTGGAGACGTTGTAGAACTCACTGTGGTCCTTTGTGCCCTTGTCGTCGACGAACATGGCGCCAGACCGCTTGTAGCCGTAGTAGTGGCCCGTGGTGCCCATGTCGTACTTGAGTTTCTCGTCCAGAGGCAGGGAGAAGACGGCGTCTGCGAGATTGAACATGAAGCGCGAGTCCACATGGTGGTTGGACAGATAGAAGAAGCCATAGTTCTGGCACGAGTGAAGCAGTATTTGAGCTTGCTCTAGATCTCCTTGGGATAGAAGATCGAAATCGACCGTGGCGATGTCAGCCACTGGCACGTCGGATGAGAACTGTGGGATCTTGCCAGACATTTTGAAGACTTATTGCGTAGCTCGAGTTCGCACTGGTGTCGTCGGGAGTCTGGAGCCTTGGTCGATTCGACAGTCTCATCGTAAGAAGTCTAGGTTCCATCTGAGGAGAGATTGCGGGTGTTGACGACGTCGGCTTTATCACACCACATAGGCATTACCGTCGCCCCAAATCACTGCTCGGTAAATTCGTCATCGTCCCTTGAAGGCGGGGGGACAATTGTAACGCGCTCGGTCATGTTTCGGGGAACGGCTTCAAATTGGAGAATGCTACAACAAGCGGCGATCTGGACGATCAAGAATGAGGGGTAAGAACCAACTCGCCAGATCAAAGCGCTTACTATTGTGGACGCGGAGTTGTCTATGCATCTCCAGGTGTTGAGTCCTGTCAGATGAATTCGGGGCATTATTCAACTTGAAACCCGGCGTCTTCAATAGCCACATTCTACGGCATTCTGATATCCCGGACCTGGGTTTGTGGCCTCGCTCCACAATTTGCAGGAAGTAGCCGAGTTTCTCTGGGGCAGCATGAGATTGGTACGTACCACGGGTTCCTGAGGGAGTTTCTTATCTTCTGCCTTTTCACAATCTATCATCTTCGTATGGACCCATGCAGAACACATTGGCTCTTCCCCGGTAAACTCGAACGAATCCCACCGCAGAATTCTGACCTTTGGTTGACATTCCACAAGCGCTACATCTCGATGGACGAAAATGTATATTTTAATATATCGAAAATGGTTCATTTGTTGAGTACGAACGACCGTGTGATACCGTCCAGCGCTTCTCCCTAGGGCTTTGCCGGCGACATATTTTATGTCCGTACACTTTCAACTTCCACCTGGCTGTTGTCCTTCTCATTGTCCTCGTGCGAAGAGTTTTGCCTCCTTTCGGCGATGTCCTTTTCACCAGTTGCTCTGGGTGAGTCAGAGAAAAGGGCGCCGATTTCCTCGAGGGACATCATTTTGGTCTGAGATGTTCAGAATGTCAGTCTCTCGCCACATGTAGCCGGTTGAATCAAGCATTGGAGAACACTACCTCTGGAAATTTCCACCAGACCACGACGATGACGGCCGAGGTAGCACCAATGCACACCAGATAATATTTCCATCCAATACTTGCAAAGCCGGTGGGTGCACCCTGCAGCAACGCCAATGCTGAGAGGAACAATCCTGAAATGGAGAGGGACAGTCCCTTTGCTCTCACTGGTGTCGGGAATATTTCCGAAGCGTAGATGTAAGAGGTTGCGTCGATGGTGCTGGCAAAGATTGCAACGTGTAAGAATAGAAAGAAGACCGCGGCGCTGGCAGCACCTTGCCCGCCGTGCTCTTGGAATTGAGAAAGTGTAATGACCTCGCCGACGAGAGCCAGCACACATCCTGACATACCAATTACTAATGACGATTAGAGATGCTCAACCGCAGCAGTCACCAGGCTTGACGTACTCAGCATTTTAACGCGGCCAACCCTGTCAACAATCAGTGCATTGAGTCCGTTTCCAAAAGGAGAGACCGAAATCCAGCCCGCTTGAATGATAAGCTGCCTAACGGTGTCGAAGCCGAGATTCGCATACAGCAAAGGCCCATAGTCTAGCTTGCCGTCAGCCTCACAAAGAAATAACATCTCAGGTCAATCAAAACTGAACTCACTGTTGATAATCTGCGTTCCAGTGGCCTGGGCTCCTACCATCATGATGAAACCGATGCCCACTCTTTTACGATATCCCGGCAGCCTGAACAAATCCAAAGTTGATAGCCGTTCCTCCTTCTCTTGCAGAATTTGGGAGTGCAGTAGAGCAAAATCGGCGCGGATGGCGTCCTCGTCATTCAAGAAGCTGTCCGAGGTCTCAGCTCGGACCCTTTTAAACGACCAATATGCTTCGTCGAAGCGGTCGCGATCTAGCACTATTCCAAGTCAACATGGGAAGCTGTCCTCCAACCACGAGAGGGCAATACATACGCCACCGAGGTGACTCTGGCAGGAATAAGACTCCTGTGGCTAGTAGTGCGGGCCAAATCGCCTGGACTGCGAGAGGGATACGCCACTGAGCTCCGGCCGCCTGGACAAAGTAGAAGCCTACGCCGATCCAGCTTGCAGAAGTATAACCGATGCAGATCATTACTCCATGTATGCCGACCAGCATACCGCGAATTTTCGGAGGTGCGACCTCACTTTGATAGAGTGGGACGAGAGTGACGAGGGCTCCTGGTGAAGGTGAGCATCCTGACAGACAAATCCAATGATTTCGTACTGACAACAGTGGTACGAGTCACACTTACCGATACCGAGCCCTGTTATCAAGCGGGCCACAATATACATGCCGATATGCACGCTGCCCGCCTGCAGTGCTCCTCCAATTGTAGTGACGATGCTCGCTACAAACAGCGCTTTCCGGCGACCCAGCCAGTCGGCAGACTTCATGCAGGACAACGTCCCAAAGAGGCCTCCGACTTGAAAGAGTCCATTGGTGGCTCCAATCAGATCGCTCGCGTTCGATCGCGTGTCCAGTTCAAAGTAGGATACGAAGGATGGCTGTCCGAGGGTGGTCGCGATGATACTGGCACAGTAGCCATAGGTTACGCTGCCTAAGGCGACAAAGACCACGATCTGGAGCTTAGGTCAGTGTCGAAAGCTGAAGAGGGTCAACAGTTGCTTACCAGCAGCCGAAGCATCGAAGCAGAGAGCGTCATCTCTGCAGCAGGATCTAGGAGCTTTGGTAGGCTTAACCTGACCGCAGGTAGCCTGTTGGTGAGAGGGAAAGTGTCGACTTTCTATTTATTATATACAGCTCATCATGTTCCAACGCATGTCGTCGCTACCAGCAGTTTGCATCACTGAAACCCCACGACAATCTTTCGATGTGCAGCCATTTGGTGAAATCTGTATAGCTCTATCCATAGGATCGAGTCCATCCCTGAGATTCCTATTGGTTGACCCATAAGGGTAGCTTTAAGTGGCAAGTTAGGACAAAATCCTTGGACGCTGGCAGATTTGCATACCGGGTCTGCATAGCCCAGGCCGGTCCTGCAAAAAAGAACACCGCCAACGTCTCCACATTCCGCTAAACATTTTCTGGAGTTATGGAGGCGGAGTTCTTTTGAGGGCTTTCCTCTGCTGTCTTCCATAGGACAAGCATAGCGAGTTTGAAAAAGGGATGTCCCCCTGAATCGTCACCACTGTGTGCCAGGCTGTGTCTCCTTGAGCTCCTACAGTATCTTAGCATGGCGGGGAAATTAGTGGGGGTTTTCAACACTTCTAAACACCGTTTCCGAGTCTTTGGCATCTACAAAGCATTTCCGCCAGCGAGATGGTACTTTCTTCGGAGTGCATCGTATACAGAAAAAGAAAGGCTAGGAACGAAAACCCCGCCGAAGGATTAACCATTCCACGCGTCCTCAAATTCATCCCGCTCTGCCGACAACGCGATCACGACTTGGCGTAAGACAAATGCTTCGCAGAGTTACCCTTTGTCCGGAAGTATCAGCATGGATAGAAAGCTGCTATGATCTGATCCGTGAGACCAGAAGTGAAAGCGGACTCTCCGCCACTCAGACACGGCCAAATTAATGTCCACAAAAGTGTGAAATGGTTTCTTGTTCTACAGACTCGCCCCGCATCTCCGTCTCGAAAGGTGCATTGCATCCACCGTTTGTTGAATTGCCAACTTCAGCCTCAGGCCCGATGCATGCAAGTCCGTGACAGATAAACCCGCCCGTGCTCACAGCGGCTTTAATGCATGGAGGAATTTTGGTTTTGGGGGTTCTGCAAGGGCGCCAGAATTGGCAAAATCCACAAACTCCTGTGCCGCTATGTGCTGTTCAAACGCTGCTCGCCCCGTGTAGCGTTCGAAGACGTGAAAGTGGTTGGGATTTTCCTTGTCGCGGGCTATGGCGTATTCCAAAACTCCTGGCTCGGACTCTGTCAGGCGAACCAGTTTCCGGAGGTACATCTCAAGGTCATCCGCCCGTCCTTCTTTGGCGTAAAGCTGTTCCCCCTATGTCAGTGGTGGAGTTGTTTTAGCTGAGAGGCTGCTATGTAGCGGACTTACATCGGCATAGAGCTCGAATTGGCCTTCAGGAATGGGAGGAAACTCGATGGACGTCATGTTTGGCTCTCGGACTCGATTGCAATCCGTACTTGTTACTTCCAACTTTTTCTAATTGAGTTTGGAATGCACTGCGTCCTTTTATGTGCTAAGGGCAAGGGTTCTACTCCACAGGAAGGGGCTGTGGGGCGACTATGGGGAAATGCGTCAACCGAGGGATTGAATCTCCACAATTCCCTGCGGAGTTTCTCGACACTGCATACGTACAGCATGCATCACGAGTCGGATTCACCTCGTATGCTTTTTTTTTGACCTCCATGCTCCAACAATAGATCTAGCAGGTATGAATTTTAGTATGTGCGGTGTTCTTTTCTTTCAATATCTCTGCTTTTGAGAAAGTCCTATGCACCCTTTTGCTCTTGGTTGTTAGGATCACGAACGTGACTATTTCATCATCAGTATCATGTCGACTAATGTCAGCTCGACACTCGTACAGCGGGCGAAGGCCAATTGGGTAGTGTCAACTGTTGCTGGACTTGGAGTCCTTATCCTTGCGCTCTTTCTAGCGAGCCCTACTATATTCCTAGACCGTTATGGTGGCCGTGTTCAAAGCAAGGATCCCAAAACTCGATATCTGAGTCATGGAGGCCTCAACAATGAGCATTGCTGGACAGACCATTGTGAGCATGAGTATTAAAATGAGCTTAACGATATTGATTTTTGATCGTGTCTGTCGATGGTGGTGCTGACATATCCGAAGCGGGCCAAACCTGTGAAGACGTTAAAATCCATCATGAGACCGACACTGCATTCCTTGGTGAGTTGTCATCCCTTGATCTACCAATTGCTGACCTCTGTCTACCTATAGCTTGTGGAGATCCGGTAGGAAGATCTCAGTTCTATCCACCGATCAATAATCATCGGACGTCGAAACGAAAAGACTTTCGGGAATATTTCTTGAAATATGACATCAAGGTAAGGTGGCCTCTGTGATTATGGCTCCGTGGCATTAGGTGATTGCTCACCGCACTGTTAACCAGGGTAACAAAACCACGAGGCTAGAAGTCAAAGGTTGGGACGGAGATTTAGTCCTCCATGGCATCGATATTTGGAGGTTCAAAGATGATCCTTCTAAGGTACAAAGTATCGCACAACCATGCGGCTGCATGTCTCACAACGTCTCTCGCAGATACATTTGTTCGCTGTGAACCATGGCCGCAAAGGTGAATCGATCACGATCTTCTCACACAAACTCGGGACAAACCTTCTAGAGTTTGTCAAGGATATCAGTCACCCCAAGCTGAAAACACCGAACGCAGTAACTCCATCTGGGCCTCTGTGAGTTTCTCTATTCCGGAATATGCTCTGCGTCGCTGAACATTTGCCATCTAGCTCCTTTTTCAGCACTAACGACCACTATTACTACAACGGCATCTTGCGAACTCTTGAAGACAAATACGCGCCGTTCCAGTGGGCCTCGTGGGTAATTCATTGCGACGGGTCTGGCTCGACAACCACTTGTCGAAAAGTCGCGGACGACCTTCAATACGCCAATGGTATCCTTTTGACGGAGGCTGGCAAGACTCTCCTAGTCAATGACTTGTACGAGGGCACGACGATCGTTTACAGTGTTGATCCAGAGACAAAGGATCTCGTGCTGGAGAGGAAAGTTGTACGTCAAATACAAACACTAAACAGTTGAGGCGTTCCTGGTCATTGACGTGACAAACAGAGACTCGGAGGGACACCAGATAATCTCGCCGAAATTCCCTCCAATGGAGACATTGTAGTGCCAGGTAAGCCATGGACTATTGACGAACTATGAAAAATTTCCCGGCCATCCGGAATTACTGGGTTCGGGGCGCTTTTGTCTAGGGGTTGATGTGCAAGATGTTTTGCTGATGGTTGATCTTGGTTTAACAGTTTTTCCCAATTTGGTTACACTGTTTAAACGCGGCTTCGGGCCTGGGGGCCTTGACTACGGCACTCTGTGCGAATCTGCAGTGGTGCGTCTGGACAAGTCAAAGGGTTATGCTCCAGAGTTGCTCTTCTGGGACGACGGCTCGCAGTTGAGCGTGTTGACTGGGGCTGCGGTAGACCCTTACAATAAGAGGCTCATCGCAGGAGGAATGTTTTCCAAGGCATTTCTTGTCTGTGACATCAGCAATGACAAAACAGGTGTGGTTTTTGGTTGAATACTATATCTGCGCGTAAAGAGATGGGCTCACAGGAAAGGTGATAAATGGTTTCATTCGTGGGTGGGAACTTGGGAGCAATTAGGCAACTGAGCACGCTTGCGCTAATAAGACATGATATTCCCCTCCCCCCAAACATTGCCCCACCGGATGAGGCTAGGGGGCCGCAGAAACGGGCACATTCAGAAAGGAAAAAGGAATAAGTGAAACTAAAAAAGAATCACTTAGTTGAATTCCGTAGCGTTGGAGAAAACAGAAAGGTAAAAAGAGAAAAAATATACCAATTAAAAACAATCAACAGTCAGGATTCCCAAGTGGTCACCCACCTTAGTACTAACTGACCGGCATGTGGCTTAAGGACGGCTGAGCGAACGGGAAGCCCTGTTTTCCACATCCTATGGTCGATTGCGACAGAATTTTGGGTTTATAGCATATATATCTTGTAATAATACCCTATGGCCTTGGAGGGCTGTGATTCTCCTGCGAGATATGGTGAGTTTGCTCTCCGTTCAGGGTGTTCAGATTTTTTTATCGGCTTATCTAGACGAAAGACGGCCTTGAAAAGTTTGAATGAGCCCTTTGTCCACGAATTCTACAGATTCGGCGCTATATTCCTACTCAATCATTCCGTTCCAAGATTTGTCTCATCATCCCGGGTAGTCAAGGAATCGGTTTTCGTCTTTGATAGCCAGAGGGCATCAGACGATGAGGAAGCCGCTAGTATACTCAGTATCTAGAACATTGTATATGGGTAGACAGAGATACATACCCGTCTACCGGAATATCCTGTCCCGTCACATAGCTAGCCATGGGAGAGGACAGAAAGACGATAACATCCGCAATCTGTAAAACGTCAGTTTTACATGGATTTCTTTTGTGAAGTCGTGCCAAACAAGGCCCCTATAGAGGAATCCCTTTTTTTTTCCCTCTTGTTCTCAACTCACCTCTCGTGCTTCCCCTAGACGACCCATTGGGCAGACCCTGAGATAGTCGTCCATTCCTACCGACCGACCCGCGCCGGGCATTCGGAGCATTGGAGTGTCCGTATATCCTGGGCAGACTGCGTTTACTCGGATGCCGCTTTTGGCGTAGTTGGCGCCGTCCTGACAAAAGTTAGATTGTCAGCTGGGGATAACTGCTAGCCGAGTCTTTGCTATTGATCTTAAACAAGGATCGAAAAGACGGTGGCCATACGCTTCTCGTCATCCCGAGGACGGCATGCTTGGCCGCGCAGTAAGAAGTTGTATTCTTCCCGCAGGTATGGCCGTAGATTGATGAGAGGTTGACAATAGAACCTTTTGCACCTCTGCGAAGCAATAAATGCAGGTCAGTTTCAAAGCGAGACATGTCTCTTGTGTTTCACCCCTGCGTTCAAGGGCACCAATGGGGATGGGAAAGAACCTTTCATCGGCCTGCTGAGACTCCATCTGCTTTAATTGCTCTCGCTGACACATCCAGACACCAAATAAATTGACGTCGATTCCAAACTTGAACTCGCTGAGGCTCGACTCTGAACTAGCCACCATATGACCTGGTGTACCCGCGTTGTTGACAGCATAATCGATACGCCCAAATCGCTCAACCGCTGCTTTGTGGGCTGATACGATGGACGACTCGTTCGTGACGTCCATCTGGATCGTTTCAATCTCGATCGCAGGGTACTTTGCTTGGATCTCCTCCTTGGTCTGCTGTAGCCCGGCTTCATTGATGTCGGTTAACACCAGGCCCTTCGCTCCATAGTGTGCAAACTGCTTCCCTGTGGCTCTGCCGATTCCTGGAGTTGAATAATTCTTTAGCCTCGAGTCTGTGGTAGGATGTGGGCTCGAGAGCGAGGGACGTCATCATACCAGAGCCTGCTCCCGTTATAAAAGCAATGCCGCCGTTGAGCAATGAAGCCATTGCCTTTTCGTTGAAGTGTGCCCGTTTCTATAATTCGGAGTTTGAAATTGTATTAGAGGCCTTTGCTTCCAACTCCTGTGACCAATGAGTCTGTATTATGTCAGGGGATGAGACTGAAAAAGTCTTATTCCGTTTCTATCCTTCATGTGCAGATGGCAAGCTCATGAGACTTGAAGACGGGTCTATATTGAAAATCCTCTTGCTTGACGTTACCAATCTCAAACACATCTCATCCAAGCCATATGCGGGGAAATATCTTGGTATCGGGTGGGGATTGTAGGATGTCTCTCATGTGATGGTGATGGAGAAACGGATCTTGCGTGTATTGTATAGGGATGCCGAGGTTCTTCAGTAGCCGGCTCTGATATTATCACGGTAGGCGCGCTGGCATATCAATAGAAAATAAAACCTATGAAGGTAGTTGGGGTATCTGGGCATTTACCCCAACGATACTACCAAAGGAGACTTTTACTTTCGACTCCTTTACCTTACTAGTGGCTCCTCATCGATTTCTTAAATAGGTAATTCCTCGAGACCGGAGACGAGGAGCCCATTTTGCATGCTCTTCATGTTTTGAAGAAAGCATGCTGCACAATACCCCAAACATGAGAAGTTCAGTCGTCGTGAGCAGAATGAGATGCTTCAGATTCTTCCATTCTTGGCGAGGCGATTTGGAGAGAATAGAACTAGGTACAGGCTATTCATTTTAAGCTTTGCAAAATCGTTTCTCTTCCCGAACCCCTTTTCGCGCCCGACCACTACACCTCCGCCAAGATCTATTCCAGAGTAAAACCAGAATATCGTGAATCCGCACTCTCCCAGATCCTTCTCCTGTATTCGGGCAATCCGGCCATGTAATTGAGTGCCTCTTTCGGCTTCCCTGGGATGTTTCCGCCGAAGTACCAACTGTCTGCTTCACTTAACAGGCTCTTGCCGCTAACGTCATTCACATGTTCCCGCCACTGAGTTTCCGCTTCCTTTGTCGGTTCAATGGACCTGAAATTTTCTCTGCGGAGGAATTTCAAACATTCCACTATCCAAGAGCCCTGAGTTTCAGTACATGCAGGACCTGTCGCGAAAGCCGTTGGGGCTTGTGGACCGTAGACAAAGAAGAAGTTTGGAAATCCACGGGTGGTCATGCCAAGGTGTGTGTAGACACCGTTACCCCATTTCTCTCGGATAGTTTCCTCCTTGCCGCGAATATTTATCTTGGTCATCGATCCGGTGATTGCGTCGAATCCAGTCGCAAAAATGACAACGTCAAACTTGTGCTCCATACCATCCTTCGTTCTAATCCCTTCCGGCGTAAACTCGGAGATGGGATTTCCAGTTTTGCTCGCATCGATCAGGGTAACGCTGTCACGATTGAAACATTCAAAATATCCCTGTTCGAGACTGACACGTTTAGCCCCGAAAGGATGAGGCGGTATTTCTGGCGCCAAGATCTTAGCAGCTTCTGGGTTCCTGATTCTAGCGAGTGCTTTCTTTCTCCAAAAGCGGTAGGCTGCGGCGTTAACGTCCCGGTCTTCGAGAAGGTCCAGATAATTTCCAAGCCAGAAGTGTAGGCCACCATGGTAAAAGAGTTGCTCCCACAGTTCGTTCCGCTGTTCCTCGTTGGTGTCTCTCCCCATTGACGGTACAAAGTCGTAGAGAAACCCAGCATAAGTTGTGTTAATTTTTTGTGTTGTGTTTTGATAGCTTTCCTTCAACCGCTGGTTGTCGGCTTCGTTAATATCATCCTGTCCCATGGGAAGAGCCATGTTTGGCGTTCTCTGGAAGACAGTGAGATGCGAGGCAACTTTGCTAATTGCCTGAACAAGCTGCACTCCGCTAGCACCAGTTCCTATAACAGCAACCCGTTTCCCTTGGACATCCATACTACCGTCCATTGGCCATCTTGCTGAATGCGTCTTGGCTCCCTGGAACGCTTCGAGGTTCTTATAAGATGGGATATAGGCTTTGGCAGCAAACCCCGTACCCATGATAATATGTTGTGCACAGAAGATCTCTCCCGCATCGCCAATTTCAACGAGCCACAACTTGTCTGAGGAGTCCCAGATTAGTGATGTGACCTTCGAGTTGAAAGATACGTCGCGGTCCAGATCCCAGACGCGACTGACATGGTGAAAATATTCCTGTATTTCGTCCCGTGCTGGGTATCGTTGCGTCCAGTTCCAATCATGTACTGTTGTCTTGTCGGTGAACTGATAAACTGGAATTTCTGTATCCACTCGCGCCCCTGGATAGCAGTTCCAGTACCAAGTTCCGCCGTAGTCAGAACCCGCTTCGAACAAGCGGACCGAGAATCCTGCCTTCCTCAGATGATATAGGTGCCACATTCCGCTAAAACCAGCACCCACGACAACAACGTCGTACGATTTTGCAACGTTAATGGATCCCATTTTGGTTGCTGAGCAATAATATCAGAGTTTGAAGAGGGATCTCCTAAAACATGAGACGGAAACACACGACGGACAAGAGTGTTGGGACAGATATACTGGGTCAATATCTACGATCAATACTTCTTTAAACTGCCATGAAAGCAGTTTCTATCCTCCACTCAAATCGCCAAGGTTCGTGAGATACGATTGGCCGGAATACTCCGCAATTCTCAGCAAAATAGGGGACTTCAGCCTTGCACTAGTGGGGTTTACAAAATGCCAGAGGGTGGGGATTTTCGGCACAGTCTGCAAAATGGAGCGGGGAAGAGAGGCGAACAAAAGCAGAAGATGGGGAATATTTGGTGGCAATGATTCTCGAGTTCAATGGTTTTAACAAATGACTTTTTCGATTGGGCAGAGACTTGCAAGGGGTTTCCAGAACCTGCAAGGCACGAGGTACAGGCACGGTTCCCTAGCCCAAATCCAGGGAGGATGGGCTGAGTTCAACAGAACACATTCTGTAGGGTCCTGACCTATACACAAAACTAAAGAGCTGAATGCGGATTTGTCCTCTTGATCAACCTCTCGTACCCTTGTCGCATTGCATTTGGCATGCCACTCTCAGCAGGTTTTCCTAATTGCCCATCGATTTGCGTGACGAAGACGTGTGTCGAACCTCCCACTGCCTTGACGTCCTCATCGCCTCTTCTAAAAATTCCCACTTCGTACATCACGCTCGATTTGCCTAACTTCACGATCCGCAGTCCGCAATCGAGGACATCCGGATAGCTGACCGATCCAAAATAATCAAAGTAGGTGTTTGCAATGATTGCGGCTTGTTGATGTTTGTTCATCGTATATCCGCATTCTTTGATCATGTATTCGTTGATAATACTGTCGGTCAGCACTCCGTAGTTGGGATTGTTCACATGGCCAAAAATGTCGTTATCGTTCCTATTACCGATGAGCTGCGGTCTGAGGGTGCAAACTTGTGGAACGACTTACCACCGCAGTCGATATTCCAGATGGTAGCCATAGTCGCTACGCTTCCGCAGCCGCTTTGACGCCAGATCTAGTTCAAGCCTTGCCATTTCTCCAACTCTATAGTACTAGGCAAAAGAGTTGGGCTTTTGTGCTATTTCAGAGACTCTGGAACAATATAGATTTCGGATAAATCTCAGTGGAAGCCCTGTGTTCTGGATAAGATGGTCATTGGACGGAATCTTGCACTATAGATCAGTCAAACTTGGGTAAATGTAATTTTACACGTACAATACTGGGTTATTGACTTCTGTAGCGGGGATTTATCTCTCCTGAGAGTAAGTGGCTTCAGATCGCTGGGACTATGTCTATTAGGGAAATGTTATGGCTGCCTCTCAATAACGGCTGAGGCGGCAATACTCCCACTCTATCTCAGGTGGAACTTTCCACGACCTGCTCAATGCTGCAGATACAGAGATCAGTATACTGAGAGATTGCCTTGGTTATCCATGGTGGGGTTTCGACAGTCGAACTTCAGGATCGTGCACCAACTTATCACATTGCAGTTTATGACTATCGCACACCGGAAGTGGCGTCCGGTAGGCAAACTACTAGTATGGACCTATGAGTGACCTCTATTATTTCATATTTTTCTTTCTTCAACTGAGACTATTGCAACAAGATCTGAAGTTCTTAGTGTTTTCAAGCAAAGCGATTGATCAAGTTTCCAATTGCAAACCCACCATGGCACCAGAGCTGGTTTATGTTCCTCCCCCGGGCCTCGAAACCAATTTTGATATTTTTCGCAGGAGAGTAAATTCCGAGTTGGGCCTCTCTCTGCAGGACTACCATGACCTCCATGAATTCTCAATTGGAAGACCAAATGACTTTTGGATGGCATTGTGGAGATTCATGGAAATCAAAGCTTCGGTCCATCCCACCCGTGCCGTCGACGAATCGCTCAGAATTGATCAATTTCCACCTTTCTTCGAGAATGCGCGTCTCAATTATGCGGAAAATCTACTTTCAAGGACGGATGCAGGAGTGGCTATCAAATATCTCAGTGAGGAAAACTTGGCGTCTCTTCGCGAGGTTACCTGGAAAGAGCTCAACGAAAATGTTCGGATCCTATCCGATGCTATGAGAGCGTCAAACATCTCAAGAGGAGATGTTGTTTGCATTATTGGCGGCAGCTCACCTGAATCTCTCGCGTTGTTCTTGGCTATCGCATCTGTTGGAGCAATCGTCTCAGCATTCGCCACGGATGCTGGAGAAAGAGTGTTGCTTGATAGAATGGGTCAGGTGTGCCCCAAGATTGTGTTTGCGGAGTCATCTTACCAGTACAATGGAAAACGGCACCTCATTTCCGACAGAGTTACGAAAATATTCTCGTTGATTGAGAAGGGATCAGGTGCAGAGGTCATCTGCACCTCTGGAACCGTTCCATACGGCTGGGTGCCCATAGAGGAATTTCGACAGCGGGCAACGGGGAGACCGCTTTCCTTCGATCAGGTTCCTTTCAATCACCCACTTCTTATCGCCTTCTCTTCGGGCACCACCGGCACTCCGAAAGGTATCGTCCATTCCCATGGCGGTATGGTCGTAAATGGAAAGAAAGAGAGCCTCCTCCACAAAAAT